GCTCCCGCCCGGCGGAGGGAGGGAGGTGCCCGGTAGCGCCCGGCGCTGGCCGAGACCGTGGGCCAGTTCTTCTCGCTGTTCCCCGCGGGCTCGGGCAGGTCCTGGCACGGACGCAGGACCCTGTGCCGGGCTCGGTTCCGGGGCGCCCTGGGTGCCTCTGGCTCACGGTGTTCCCTCTGCCAGCGGGAGGTGGAGAATGTTCCTCAGTGCCATCGTCATGATGAAGAACCGGCGCTCCAGTGAGTCCAGGGGGGGACGGGGGGCTGCTGCTGCGGAGCTTCCCCCCGGGAGGGTCTGGAGGGCCAGATCCAGCCCTCCCTCAGCATCTGGCCCTGTCCTATATCCCTGTGCTCTTGGCAGTCACTGTGGAGCAGCACATTGGGAACATCTTCATGTTCAGCAAAGTGGCCAACGCGATCCTGTTCTTCCGCCTCGACATCCGCATGGGGCTGCTCTACCTCACGCTCTGCATAGGTGAGCCCTGACAGAGGTCCTGTGGCAGCTGTGGAGCTGTCCCGGCCCTGTCCCCACAGCCCTGGCTGGAAGGGCCGCAGCTCCCTCCTGTCCCAGCGTCACCATGTCCCTCAGGGCTGAGGGGCTGTGGGTGTATGAAGTCTCCATGGGGGCAGCACTGGGAGCTCAGGAAGCTCCCTGGGGGGGTCTGCCTGCCCCCAGCCCAGCCTGGCTGTGCCACTGCTGGGGGACTCAGGAGACTGTCCTTGCAGTGTTCCTGATGACCTGCAAGCCCCCCCTGTACATGGGCCCTGAGTACATCAAGTACTTCAGTGACAAGACCATCGATGTGAGTATTGCCCCTCTCCCTGGGGTGTTGGGGAGCTGTCCCCAGCACCCGCTCTGAGCCCTCCCACGCCCCTGGGCAGGAGGAGCTGGAGAGGGACAAGCGTGTGACATGGATCGTCGAGTTCTTTGCCGACTGGTCCAGCGAGTGCCAGTCCTTCGCCCCCATCTTTGCCGGCCTCTCTCTCAAGTGAGTGGTGCCCAGAGGGGGTCTCAGGCCCTGTAGTCACACACAGCCCTCACAGCCCTGTGTCCCTGTCCTGCCCAGGTACAACTGCCCCGGACTGCAGTTCGGGAAGGTGGATGTTGGCCGCTACACAGATGTCAGCACCAGGTGAAGGAGGGACACAGCAGTGCCAACAAGGCAGTCCTTGGGCCCCCCCAGCCCCTGTGGCTGCCTGGGGGTCACCGCTGGCCTCTCCCGTCACAGGTACAAGGTGAGCACCTCGCCCCTCACCAAGCAGCTGCCCACCCTCATCCTCTTCCAGGGGGGCACAGAGGTCATGCGGCGCCCGCAGATTGACAAGAAGGGTCGAGCTGTGTCCTGGCACCTCCGAGCCCCTGTCTGTGGCAGTGCCTGGGAAGGACGGGGCGCCCCTAGGGGTGCTGACACTGCCTCTGGCCGCAGGAGAACGTGATCCGTGAGTTCAACCTCAATGAGCTCTACCAGAAAGCCAAGAAGCAAGGGAAGCCACGGGAGGAGGGGCCCGA